TTCCTATGGGTTCCCATATGGGATATTATGTATTTAATCAGGAACCTATGTTTGTTCCCCTACATGCTCTCCTATAGGTTCCTATATAGGTTATTATAATTTTAAACAGGAACCTATGCGTTTTCTCTTATTGGCACTCGTATGGGTTCCTATATAGGTTATTATAATTTTAAACAGGAACCTATGCGTTTTCCCTATATAGGCACTCGTATGGGTTCCTATATAGGTTATTATATTTTAAAAATATAACCCCAAAAGAACTAATATAACTGCCTACAGGGGAACACACATAGGTTCCTAATTAAAAACATAATATCCCATATGGGAACCCATAGGAGAGTCTTTAAGGGAACTTATGGGTTCCTAATTAAAAACATATAATATTCCGTATGGAAACCCATAGGAGAGTCTTAGGAAACTTATGGGTTCCCAACTAAAAACATAATATCCCATATGGGAACCCATAGGAGAGTCTTAGGAAACCTATGGGTTCCCAACTAAAAACATAATATTCCATATGGGAACCCATAGGAGAGTTTTCAGGGGAACTTATGGGTATTCATCATATTTTTAAATAGGGACCTTTGTGTGTTATCCTATAATGACTCTCCTATGGGTTCCCATATAGGTTATCATATTTTTAAACAAAAGCCTATGGGTTTTCCAATTTAAGCTCTCCTATGGGTTCCCATAGCAGATATTATATTTTCATCTACGAACTTATAGATTCAGAGAAAAAATTTTTGCCTCTTGAGAAATCTTGATGAATGCTGTGTGTTTATTATAATTTTTTTCCATGGGATGGTAATTTTTGATCGGAACCCATATATATGTGAGTGTGTGTATGTGCGAATAAGGGATTGCGTCAGGTTTTGAAGAATCGAATTGAGTTATTACATTGAACTTCGGGGCGTATATATCGACTCACCCTTCTCTCTCAGTCTCTCTCACTCTCTCTCTCTCTCTCGATCGAGCGTGTAGGTACGCTCTTCTCTGTAATAAAGCCTAAGTTTCGAACCCATCAGTTCTGCTGGTATAATCACCGAAACGCTAGCGTGGATAATTTTCTCCTCTACCCTCAGGACATGCCAGACCGACATGGTAGTTTTGCCTTTGTGTAATTGGGCTAGGACAGGTGGTTCCTTTCGGATATATCTGGAAGGAAACCAAGAAGATGACTTCATCGTTCTTCAAAAAGTCCAACCTTTGCAATTTTTTTTTTTGCCTTCTCTTATAAGGCGCCAGGTCTAAATCCAGAGCTCTCTTCTAATTATCTGAAATATATCATGTATACATATATATTATGTAGTCTTAGTAAATAAAAAAAAAAAATTCGAAACCAACGTTCAGCTGATCCCACCGCTGTCACCTTGAAGTCGTGTTTTTTCGGATATTATAAAAAAGAAGCGGTGTGAGAAATGTAAATAAGAAACTAGACCTAAAATTGAAAATTAATATAAATTTTATTTCCTAAAATTCGAAGTCGAGGTCAGTTTTTCAAAATTCAAAATGGCGGATCCAATATGGCGAACTTTTTTAAATTTATTGAATTAGCTTAAAACTTGATATTTGAGGTTTTTTGGGGTCAGTGGTTACTAATTACTAACCTGATATTATTTCATAAAAATTTTAAACGTTTGAAAAAATTGGAAAATTTAACAAATTGTTTATAATTTTTTTAAACCAATAGCAAATTTTAGATAATTTCCTGTATGAATATTTTCTTGAAGCCTTCTCTTTGCTGAAGAAATCGCACCAAATTTGAATGAAAAATATTAATTTTGTTTCTAGATATTGAGCTTTTTGTAAGTGGGACAACAATGGGACATTTATGTCCCAGGGGCTACCAAAGGTGCTACCAAAAAATTTTGACCTAAATTTTGACATTAAGCTCGCAAATAGACCTGCGATTCTTTATCTGCAATTTAAGTTTATTTTTTGCACATCACAATTTTTTTAATATAAATTTTAAAATTTAAAGTTTATTTTATGAAAATTACAATTTTTTGAAAATGAATTTTAAAATTTATCTTCTTTTGTTAACCTCAAAATTTTGACCTCAATTTTAAGGTTAAGCTCGCTAATAGACCAGCGATTATTATTTATTTGCAATTTAAGTTTATTTTTTAAAATAACAATTAAAAAAAAAAAAAATTTTTAATGGGACAAAAACTGTCCCTAATTGTTTTCTTTAACAGGTATAAATACATATATATTGGAAAACCCCGATTTTCTGTTTCCTCAAAATTACGGGTATAAGAAGAATTTCTAAAATGATGAGAAAAAATGACATCTGCAGGTTAAGAGATTATAAATGGTACCAGGACGAACCTTAATGACACTTTTGAAAAGAGAGAAAAAAAATTGGAAGATAATTTTTTGGGATGTTCTTTTAATGATCCAGCTCATTCCTAAAATGATATAGCCACCTAAAATGGAAACCCTACAATTGGTCAAGTCGTTGTCACTGATGATCACCAAAAAAAAAAAAAAAAAAAAAAAAATATGGTGTCGACAATTCTAGAGGCGCCTTATTGTCATAGGTACTATTATTATCCAACTGAGAGTCATAATTATCTATAGCTGCCGACAAAAAAATTCTCCTCCTCCTCCTCACCTGATGACGAGATAATCTGCACTCGTCTCGTCTATATAATATATAATTTTAAGAAAACAGGTGCAAATTTGAGACAATTTCCACATAAATGACAAATTTTTTTTTTAATTATAGTTTTATTTTGTATTTTTTATTATTTTTATTTATTTATATTTTTTACTCTTTTTTTATTTGTACTTTTTAATGTTTATTTATATTTTTTACTATTTTGTTATTTGTACACTTTTTACAATTTATTTATATATTTATATTATTTACTATTTTTTTATCTATATTTTTAAACATAATTTAAAAATTTACTTTTTCGAAAATTGTTAAATTTTTAAAAAATTATTAAAAAATCAGCTTTAATTGAAAATTTATTTTCAAAAAAATCAAAATTTTTGAAAAAAATATATTTTTCAAAGAATAGAAAAAAAAATTGTTCGTTCTTGTGTCTAAGCCATAAAGTTTATATTTTACGAGCGTGTGAAAAAGTCGCGCTTCAGGCCTCGAACCCTCCTTCTTTATTCGATCGAGCAAATTTTTTTTTTGTTGTTTCTTTTTTATTTACTTTTATTCTTCTGTCTCGGTTACTCCTTTCCCTTCGCGCCCTCGGGACTCGAACGTGGTAATAAAGACATTAGCCCCGGCCTGCTTGGATCATTCACCATGATGAAGACGTCCTGCTTCGGGAGAGCTGGCCAGTTAGCCAGTTATAGTTAATGCCAGCTGAGCTTAGTACACACATATCGCCCTTAACTTTTATATTTTCGACGAACTGATTTACGCCTTTTATCAACCTAATTATTAAAAGTGCCGCTGCTCTTTTAATTGCTTTCACTCTATAATTTTTTTTTCGAGAAATAAAACTCTGTGTACAAAAAAAAAAATAAAGGAAATTCCGAAGAAGTTAAACAAAAAAAGGGTTTATTATTTAGGATTATCTTTGTCTTCTTGACCTAAATTAACCTAAATCACTATTTGACCTAAATTGAAAAGATTGTAAAGTAATATTTACCCATTGACCTGAATTTAGCCCGAATTTTGACGATAATTTTAAGATTTTACTCTCTTTACTTTGTTACCTCTTGACCTGTTATAGTTGACCTATTTGACCTAAACTATAAAGATTATAAACAAATAGGTTTACCCTTTGACCTCAATTTTGACCGTCAATCACAATTTTAACCTTTTATTTTCTTTTCTTTTTTACCTTTTGACCTTTTATAGTTGACCTATTTGACCTAAATTATAAAAATGATAAAGAAATGGTTTTACGCATTGACCTCAATTTTCCCCGTCGACCACAATTTTAAGCTTTTTCTCTCTTTTCGTTTTTACCTCTTGACCTGTTATAGTTGACCTATTTGACTTAAATTATAAAGATTATAAAGAAATGCTTTTACCTACTGACCTGAATTTCGACCGACGACCATAATTTAAAAGTTTTTGAATTTCTTTATTTTTCACCTCTTGACCTGTTATAGTTGACCTATTTGACCTAAATTATAAAAATTATAAAGAAATGCTTTTACCTACTGACCTGAATTTCGACCGTCGACCATAATTTAAAAGTTTTTGAATTTCTTTATTTTTTACCTCTTGACCTGTTATAGTTGACCTATTTGACCTAAATTATAAAGATTATAAAGTTTACTGTTTGATCACAATTGTGACCGTCGACCACAATTTCCTGCTTATATTTTTTTACCTTCATTTTTTCATATCTTGACCTATTTGACCTATTTGACCTAAATTGTAAGAATTAAATTAATTGATTAATTGTATAAAGTAATAGGTTGTTTACTCTTTCGACCTAAATTCCACTTTTCCCGATTATTAAGATTTTTTGACCTAAATTTAAGTTTTTTGCCGATTGTTAGTTTTTGACCTAAAATTCAAAGTATCATTTACTGATTTGCCAGTAAATTTTACCTAAATGTCGAGATTATATTCAATTATTGACCTGTAAATTTTCACCTACTATAAATAATTATATCCTACGAAATAAAAAATTTTTCAATATAGAGAAAAAAAATTACAAATTTTCATAAATTAGTATTTAAATACTAATTTTGGGAAATTTTCTATTCTTTCGCTTTCAAAAATTATTATTTCTCATTTTTTTTATGAATTTGTTTTTAATGAGTAATTAATTAATAATACGTACACTGTTTTGTTTATTAAATGAAAATTTATTTTATTATTAATATTATTTTAAGTGATAAAAAAACTTTGTATAAAACTGTAAAGTAAAATTCTATATTGTATATAGTCTAATTATAAACCTCATTAGCATTAATGTGAAGAATAATTAAATTGTCTTTTTTTGGATTTATTCTTCATGAATTGAAATATTTTTTTTCATGATAACAGTTTATATTATTACAAGAAAGAGAAATGTTGTGTGTTATAGAAAATGGTTTAGAAAGTTTTGAAAAGTTGGTTTTTTAAGGAAAAATAAAAATATCGAATATCAATATATAAAAAATTGTGATTGAGTTTCTGTTTGCTTTGTTTGATTTATTGTTTCCTGGAAGGAAGAGGTAATTTAATTTAAAATTTTCTGATTTTTATTAAAAAGTTGTTAATAATGAAGAATTATTTTACTTCTGAACATAAAGTTTCGTAATTTTATATTTTTTTTTAAGTTTTTGATTTTTTTTTTTTGTTTAGTTTTTCATATTTTGTTTCTTATTATTTATTTTATTGTATTTGCTTATGCATTAATTACAAAATTTTCACCTTTATTACATTCATTTCTTTTTCATTATTTATACTTTGTTCTTTATTAATTAGGTTAAATTTTTTTAGAATTTTATTTTATATTTATTTCTTTTTCATTATCTTTTTTTACATTATTTTCCCATATTAATATTTTTTGCATTTCTTAGATTTTGTATTTCTGTTTTTTCCATTTTTTTCCATTTTTTCTATATTTTCTAAATTTTGTACTGTATTTGTTAAATTTTGTCTTCTTTTTTTTATTTTGCTGTTTTAATTTTTTTTTATTTAATAGAAAATTAGTAGAAAATAAATTTTTAAAAAAGTTTGTTTTTGATTCTTTTTTTTATTATTTATTTATAAATGTGTTACTAAAATATTTTCTGAAATAAAAATTTTTCTATAACATTCAAAATTTGTTACAATGAAATATTTTAAGGAACATAAGACAAAATTAAGTAACATATTTCAAGTAATAGTGAAATAATTTAATTAATTTTTAATTAGCGTTCAACAATGTCTTGGAGCTGTAGATTAAAAAAGAAATTAACAGTGTAGTTATTAAATTATTAAAACAATAAATTTTTCTAACATTTAGAAGATATTAAGTGTTGATTAGATTTCACACTAATAATTATCGTTTCGCTAATCAGGGCATCAGCTATTTTTAAAATTTTTTTGTTTTTTTTTATTTTTCTAATTTCAATTATTTTTAAAACAAAGCTTTTCTCTTTTTTATTAATTTTTATTTGAATATATTTTTTCTTTTTTCTTCTTTCTTCTTTCTATTTTTTCTCCTCTCTTCTTTCTGTTTTTTCTCCTTTCTTCTTTCTGTTTTTTCTCCTTTCTTCTTTCTATTTTTTCTTCTTTCTTCTTTCTATTCTTTCCTCTTTCTTCTTTCTTCTTTCTTCTTTCTTCTTTCTTCTTTCTTCTTTCTTCTTTCTTCTTTCTTCTTTCTTCTTTCTTCTTTCTTCTTTCTTCTTTCTTCTTTCTTCTTTCTTCTTTCTTCTTTCTTCTTTCTATTTTTTCTCCTCTCTTCTTTCTGTTTTTTCTCCTTTCTATTCTTTCTTCTTTCTTCTTTCTTCTTTCTTCTTTCTTCTTTCTTCTTTCTTCTTTCTTTCTCTTTCTTCTTTCTTCTTTCTTCTTTCTTCTTTCTTCTTTCTTCTTTCTTCTTTCTTCTTTCTTCTTTCTTCTTTCTTCTTTCTTCTTTCTTCTTTCTTCTTTCTTCTTTCTTCTTTCTTCTTTCTTCTTCTTTTTTCTCTTCTTTTTTATTTGTTAAATATATTTTCTCAGGTCCCTTAAATAATGGATTTGCCACTACGGATGAAAATGAAGACGATGATGACGACGACAATGATGATGATGCTTATAATGACAGGAATAATACTCCAACATGGCGAATCTTTATCAACCGACGAAATTTATTTCAAAAATACCGAATTCAATCTATCCTCGGGATTATTTCACGAAAAACTTGGAACCCTACAAATAATCGGTGGTACACGTAAAATATCAATAGTCCTAACAAAACTAAAAAATCATCAATATTTACAAACATTCGTCGAAATGTTGGACAAGGCACTAAACAATTGTCAAAAAGCAGGACAATTAAGATGTCGTGAAAGAATAAATTATCCACGACTAAAGAAACAAATCGATTTAGCAACAAATTTACGAGCAAAACTTTTAGAGGAATTAGAAGAAATAAATCTAAAGCCCACTGATTTTGAACAATCACGAAGAAAACGTCAGGCAGAAATAAATATTGATACAATAGAAAATAGTTTTGCATTCAGTACAAATTTTTTAGATGAAAATAGTATGACAATTTTAATGGGCAATCAAAATCATACAATACAATCCGAATTAGATGAACTCAATAAATTCGAACCAAAAATAATTCATGAATTAACAATTTTACAGAATCAATTGAAAAATCCAACTCTCAATTTTTCGAAAGAATTAGACGAATATATGATTTATAGAAACTTTAATTTAATATTAGAAAAAACTTCATTTGAACTTGAGAAAAGTATCGATGAATATATGAAATATCTAGAAGTGATGCTTGCCGTTATTAATTCAATTAAACAAGGAAAAGTTCATCATTATTTGATAAAAAGAAAACAATTGATTGAATTTATCACTAAAATCAATGATTTGCGGGGGAATTTACAATTTCCCTTTAGAATCGATAAAATGAGTGTTCCTGAGGTTTTGCAAATTTCTTCAATGTCTTACAAAATGGATGGAGACGATCTTCATGTTATTCTACACATTCCTCTAATTGAGAAGAATAAATTTAATTTCTATCAATTGCACTCGATTTATGTATCAAAGAGTTTGGTGAATAATACATTTGGTTCGGGTTTTATTAAACCAAAAACTAATTTTCTAGCTATTGATGAAGAAATAAGGTACTATTTTCCCATTGAAGAAAATATACTGAAGAAATGTCATAAAATTGATGGAAGATACATTTGCCATTTATTTCAGGCCTATTACAATGTTAATGAGATGAATATTTGTGAGGTGAAACTATTGAATTCAACGTCTGAGGAAATATTGCAAACTTGTGATATTCATGTGTCGATAAAACAAACACCATTGTGGACGGCAATTACGAGTTTGGGTGGTTGGTTATATTCGTTGACGGATGAAGAAAGAGGGATTGTCTCGTGTGATGGTGATAAAAATAATTCACGTGAAATAATTTTGAAAAATAGTGGAATTCTACAATTAACGACTGGATGTACATTGAGAACGAAAACAATAACATTACCATCATTGGCGTACAAGAATATTGATTTTCACTTTAGTCATCTAGTGATAAAAAATGAGACAACTTTTAATGAATCGAAATTAGTTCGTATTCTTCAGAGGAAAAATCGACCGATTATTTATTGTACTGGCTCAGCGTACGATTGTAATTATTCGGATCTTGAAAGTTTAGCGTTAGTTGATGGATCGTCGACTAAAATGGAGACAAATCCATTGATTTATATTATTTTAATTTGTATGGTCACCATTTTGATAAATCTTTCGATTTTATTTTGTAAAATTCGCTTGTGTCACGGTGGAAAGAATAAGAAAGTAAATGGTAAAATTGAAAATGATTCACGTCCAAGAGTAGCGGCTGAATATTTTCCCACTAAAATGAGTAAACCAGAAACTTATATTTAATTTATTGTAAAAAAATTTTTTTCCATTTAATATTTAAATTGATTTACAAATATTATTAGAAATTCTAGATTTTCTATTAAATTCAATAATTTAAAGAAACTAATTTTTTTAAAGCAGGTAATCAAATAAATTTTGTCGACTTTTCTTCAAAATATATTTTCAAATAGCCAACAAAATACCATAATTTTTGTACAAAAAAATTTAAGAAATTCTATTAAAATATTTTTAAAAAACTAATTAAAAAAATTTTTTTTTATTATATTTTTTTTAAATTCAATTATTTTCAAAAAATGGAAATAAAATTTTTTAAAATATTTTCATTTTTAGGCTTATTATTTAATTTTCGAGGAAATTGTGTATTTTTATATTTGCAACTAAAGTTCTCAAGAAAAATTTTTTTTAATTCGGTACATTAAAATATTTTTGAAAAATGCAATTCTTAAAATTTTTCTTTATAATTTTTTTAAATTCAGTAATATTTTTCAATATTTTTAGTTACATATTTCGGAAAATTTAATAATTTTCAAAAAAAAGCATAGCCAACATTTTTAAAAAATTCTTATTTTTGAAAGAATTATTTTTAAAATTTTGTAGAGAACAATAATTTTTTTGGATTTGTTAAAAATTATTGTAGATGTAATGAAATTTTGGCAAAGTTAAAAAAGAAATTAAAATTTCGGAAGTAAATTAAAATTAAATTAAATTTCTGAAGGGTTGAAATTGAACTTTAAAATATTTCAATTCCTTTGAAAAGTAAATAAGTAGGTATTTAAATATTTATATGACAAAATTATTCAGGTATAGAAATCAAATGAATGTGAAAATTAATATTAAAAGTAAAATAAAAAAAAATACATAAAAAAAAGAAAATATGATTAAAAAAATTAATGACAAACGAAAAAGCGAATCTTGAATTTTCAGTAAAAATACAAAGTGAAAATGAATGTCAAAGTGAAAGTGAAAATATAAATTTAAAAGATACCAAGAGTGGATTATTTAATAAAAATTTTTTTAATTTAAATGAATGTCAAAATAGGAGTAAAATTTTAAATTAATATCAAAAAGAAAGTGAATTATGACTAAAATTCAAAATAAAAATGAATATAAAAGTGAAAATAAAATTATACTTTCTATTAATGGAAAAGGAAAGAGTAGATTTTTATTAAATATCTCTATTAAAAATGGCTGTGAAAATGACAGGGAAAAAATAAATAAAGATAACAAACAACGAAAAAGTGAATTTTGAATGTTGATTAAAAATTTATTGTAACAATGAATGTCAAACGCAAAAAAGTGCGACAACAAAAATTAATGTTAAAATCGCAGAGAATTGTTTTTCTAAAATTCATATATATACTAAAAAACGAATGTATTTATTTACTATTATAACAAAGAGTCAGAGAATTTTGAATGTTGAGTAAAATAATGAATAAGGGTTCACATTTAATTTTGAAATATTTATAAATAAATAAAAAAATAAACTCTTTAAAAAATTAATTCTTACAATTATTATTATTTAAAGGAGAGCATATTAATTATGAAAATAATTGAATTCTTACGAACGATTTTATTAGAAATTTTTTAAATAATTGAATTTCCGAGAAAAAATTTATTACTTTTAAAAATAATTGAATTCATGTGTTGAATATATTGTTATTTATGAAAATAATTGAATATTGCAAAGAATTTTATTAAAATGCCTCAAAATAATTGAATTTTCGGGAATAATATTGTTATTTATCGACATAATTGAATTATTTATGTAAATAATTGAATTCTTGGAAAGAATTTTATTGCAATCTAAAAGAATAATTGAATTATTTCAAATAAATTTAATTAAAATTGTATTTAAAATAATTAATTTCTTTTGAACCAATTTATTAAAATATTTGAAAATAATTATTGAATTCCTGTGAAAAATTCTAATATTTTGGTAAATAATTGAATTCTACCAAAGAATTAAAAAAAACATTTTTTTTAAATAATTGGCTTTTTCGAGGAATTGAAATTAAATTTTTAAGAATAATTATATCTTTCGAGCAATTCTTGTAAAATTGTATTAAAAATAATTGAAATTCTTCCATGAATTTTATTATTTATGAAAATAATTGAATAGTTGCAAAGAATTTTATTAAAATTTTCAAATGTTATTGTTTAAATTATTATGTAGTAAAAACAAACAAAATTGATAATTTTTTAATTATACATACTGTTTAAAAATTATAATAATTAATAATTCAATGTTGAAGAAAACCAAAATTTTTACCATTTTCTCCTTTTAGACATAAGACAAAACTGAACTGTGGAAAAAAAATAAAAGTTTCTTAAAAATCAATACCAGTATTTGTAAAATTTGATCTGTAAGTGTGATAAGATGTAAATAATTTATATATTTCAAATTCACTTAGGGATTGTCCATTTATTACGTCATCAGGAAGCTTAAAGAAAAAATCAATATAAAATCAAAGAAACATTATCCATCATGGTAAATTGAAAAAGAAATTGTTTAAAATTGTTATAAACAAAATTAGACATTTTTTTTAAAAATAAAATAAAAAAACCTTTTGCATCGATTTTAAGTTAGAGAATATGGTAAAGATGGAAGAAAACTTTTTTCATAAGCAGCAAGATTTTTGTACTTTTTGATTATTATTATTATTATTATGATTATTATATTTTTTTTCATCCTCTCCATCCTGAATTTGGGTTATAGTTTCGATGTGAAGTTAGGCGAAAGTATAGTACAGGTGCACCAGGTGATGCTAACGACGTTTATTGGCCTTCTTGCTATAAACTTTTCAAAATTATGCGCGACCCAAGATTTTGTTTTTTGTTGAAATTCTAAAATATCTTTCGCAAGAATTGCGCCGCGCGCCGCCGGTGAAAAATGATAATGACTTTACTAAATTCTTTGATTGGAATCTAAACATCTTCTTCCCGCATGTTAAACATAATGTTGAAGCATTCAAAGCACATGTTATTTTTATTATTATTAGTATTTTTATTATTATTATCATATTAATATTATAAATATTATTATTATAATTTATAATAAAATGAAATGAAATGAAATAATTAAAATTATTATATTATAATAATTATTATAATTACTAATTAAAAATGTTTAATATTAATAATAATTGTTAAATCTGTAGAATAATTCAAGATTAAACTAATTTTTAATTATTATACATTAATTTATATGAATATTAGGTATTATTTGTAACATTTTCCAAGAAAACATTTTAGCAAAAAAAAAAAAAGTAAAATGAAAAAGATATAATCTGTTATTATTAATCTTTCCTCCTTTTTAACAAAATAATAAATTACTATTATTATTCATAATTTAATTTAAAATAAAAAAATTATCCAGAAAAATAATTGTTAAAACTAAATTAATTTAATAAATAATTTATAAATGGGACAAAATTTGTTAACTGCGTGCTATGAATATATTAGTCAATATTTTAATAAAAATTTTGTTAAGTACATAATAATTTTCTTTTGTACTGATTTTTTTCAGCGATTTTCTCTTATTTCTGCGGAAAATTTGATTTTCTCCACATTGAACATTTTTATTTCGACTTGCAATATTTTTTTTTATCTTTTTTTGTGTTCAATATATTTTTCTCCTTTTTATATTATTTTTCCTTTAACAGAATTTTCCACCTTTATTTTATTTCTATTTGACAAATTTCAAAATTTTTTTCTATTCCTCTTTTCTTACTTCTTTTGAAATTATTTCTTCATTTTTCTATTTCAAACAGTTTATTCTCTCTCTTTTAAGTTTATAAATTTTTTCACATTATTGTTATCAACTGAATTTAATAAAAAGTGAACAATGTTTTTTTTATAAATTTTCAATAAAACTTATTTTCTTTGAAACAATTATTATTTTTCTGTATTTCATTATTTTACTGTTTTATTATATTATTTCTAATTTTTTATTTTACTTGAAATTTTGTATATTAAAAATTTTTTCTTTTTAGCAAATCAGAGAAGGAGAGAGAGAGAGAGAGAGATTAGAAATCGATGACATGTAATTATCTGATAATGTAAATTAAAAAAATTTTTTTTTGTTAGTTTTCTTGATGAAGTTGAAGTGATAAACTTATGAAGAAAAGAGAGAGAGAGAGATGACCTTCTTTTTACTTTCGAAAGACTTTTCAATTTCCTCGACATTCAAATACCCTCGTTTTCTGAATATCCTTTTGCGACTTCCAATTTCTTTCTTGCTAACGAGTCACTGAAACTATTTCTATATCCATACCTTGTCAGCGATGAAGAAGTAAGTCGAATATTTCCCCTTTTTCCACCCCCTTCAAACTCACTTTAATCTTTTTTTTTTCCTTTTCCTTTGGGTAATCATCCTATAAACCGCCATTTGCGTGTGAATTCAATGAGCTATTAAACCATCAATTCTATTCTAAATTGTTTTTTTCCATTCGTTTTGCATAAGAACATCAAATGTTCCTTTTTAGATAATCTGAAATTTGATTTAAAGTACTTTTGTTAACAAAAATGTTCGGTACGGTTGATTGCATGAGAATGTCGAACAGAAAATGTAATAAGAATAACTTAAATATTTCCTTTGAAAAATTCTATTGGACATTAAGACTGCGAGTTAGGTTCTAAATTAGTCTGAAGTTTAAAAAAAAAGAATAACCAGATGTTATCCGTTTGAAACGAATCTGTTAGATTTAAAAAAATTGTCCGCCATATTGGATCCGCCATTTTGAATTTACCACTTTACGAGGTTCGCATAATTTTTGATTCAATAATAATTGTTAAACGCGATAGTAAAAATTTATCCATAATAATTAGCTCAGCATAATCCCTTAAAGGAAAATGAAAACCACTGCGTTTACGAAATATCTCACGAGTCATGTAATCTTTTCTCATTCTACAGTGTCGAACCTTTTTGCTCCTTCATCCTTATTCGTTTATTTTTTTGTGCGTTAACTATTTTCTTTTTCTTCATCTTCTTCTTCTTCTTTACCTTCACTTATTTTCCGAAGCGGGAAGGAAATTCTTATTCTCCAAATGCGTAGGTATCGATGCTGTAAAACAAGATTCAGCTACAGTTGAGGTAATTGCCAGTTATAAAG